AGGCGGGGATGAGGTTCCCGGAGCCGCTGCGGGGAAAGGGGGGCCCGCTACAGCCGCTCCGCGCTCTCTGCCTCTTCTCGCAGGAGCAGGACGAACTGCGCTCCCTGCCTCAGCTTCCCAGTGAGGAAGGGGCTGGAAGCACCTCTGGCAGCGGGTGAGAAGCAGACGGAGATCTATGGAGAGCGTTGGCTGCTGGCTGCAGCCCTGGACGTGCAGCCTGGGCTTGGGGTGAGGAGTTTATTTAGCTCCGAGCATGGGCTGCTCAGCCGAGGCTGCAGCTGGACCGAGGTGGTTTCCTGCCTGCTGTCGTGGCTCCTGCAGCAGCAGCCTGGGTGCAAAGCCTGTTTTTACGTGTCAGGGATCGTCCGGAACCCCATCAGGAAAAGGACATGGCCAACCTTTCGCAGCTGTGCTCAGACCAAGGCTCCAGCCCTTTAGCAGCAGCTGCTGACCAGTGCGAGGTGGGGATGAACCCCAAGGCACCCCACCAGTAAACCCTGTTTACTGGTAATGCTGGTGGGCAGGGGGCCAAGCCTTTGTGCTCCCTTCACATCAAGGGAGAGGAAATGGGGTGAATCGTCCCTGCAAGGTGGGAGATGACAAATACCCAAGAAACTCTTTCTCACAGCAAGATGCTCATGCAAACCACATCCTCTGCTCCCCATGCTGCTCTAACAGTGGTACAACAGAGGCCTTCTCACTCCCCTCCCCAGCTGCGGTAAGGTAACCACAATCTTATAGGCTTTTTTGGTTTCTCTGGGATTTCTTTTCTTGCAGAGGGGAAAACGGACACACGCCTCTCACTGTGTGGAAAGGAGGGGAGGAAGTAGCTTATCATCTTCAGCTAGGGAGAGAAAAAGCAGAAACCAAGCAGCTGTGGGATGCACAAGAAGGTTTATTGGAGAAGGCAGCATGGTGGGGTGGTGGGAGAGGAGAGGCTGACCCCTGGCTAGTGCTGCCTGGGGCTGGGAGGCAGAAGGGGATTTTTCCAGTTTCTTTCCAGCAGTGGGCTGTACACTGGAGGAATCTCTGCCTCTCTGAGCCACAGGCCAGATGCCAAACACCACTTCTCTTACAGGTCATCCACACTCCTCAGCACCTCGGCCATCAGGTTGCAGGCAGGCTTGTGCTTCTGCCAGTGCTGGACCTGGCATGCCCTGCAGAGGGGGAAGCTGCTGTCAGGGTCAGTGGAACCACATCCATCCTTGGCAGCAGAGCAGCAAGAATGACAAACTGCAGCACCATACCCCTCTGGAAGCTGGGGGAGAGCTGATACAGCCCAGCACGAGATCAAGAGGGGGCTGGATGTGGCCCTAGTCCTGGGGGTTAAGAAGGTTTAACGCCAGACCTTGCCAGATGGTTCAGGACCAGAGATTTAATTTACTGCCACCATCCCAGCTGCCACATCCTAGCCTGTCACCTGCACCCACAGGGTCATGGGTGCTTTCCACCAAGGTGGAGAGGAGGGAAACAGTGTCACCATGGAAAACCCAGCAGCACCTCCTCCACCAGCAGCCCAGCACATCAGCCTCCCAATAAGATTTGGAGAGGTACATGGCCAGCAGAGAGCTAGTGGTGCTGAGCAGAGGTGGGACCCCCGGCTTTCCTTGGCCCTCCCACAGCATTCTGCAGTGAGATCTGTGGTGCTCTGGGGAGCACTGAGGGGCTGCAGGGGGGCCCAGGGGGGCCAAGAGGGTGGCAGGGCTGCCTTACCGTGTGCAGTACCATTCGTTCCGGCAGCGAGAGCAGCGCTTGGCTGCTTCGGCACCACACACCCTGCAGCGGGGCTTGTCGGGGGCCAGAGCCTCCATCATGTCCAGGCTGTAGGTCTGTGCCCACCTGTGCAGGCAGAGAGGGCTGAGGCTGCTTACAGGGAACTGCTGACCAGCAGTGAGCTGTCCCCATTGCACCCTGCCACTGAGGGGACATCTCCAGCCAGGGCCACAGACCCCTCTGTCCCCCCAGTGCTGAGCTCCAGCCCTGCTAGTAGGGATACTGCCCCCCTGGGCACTCTGCATACCTGTACCAGGGCCTCACCTTCGTGCCTGGAGCTTCAACTCCTCCTCAGTGGGGCTGAAGGCATGCTTCACCTGGTGCTTGGCAATGGCCTCCCACTTCCCTGAGTTTTTCTTGAGGATATGGTCCCAGATGACAGGAACCTGATGGGAGAGGCAGGGCCGGGGAAGAGGTGCTAACAGCCTAAAAAAGGTGCTGTGGTTTGGGGAGAAGGCAGCCAGCCCTGGGCACAAGAAGCATGGCCCTCCAGGAGGGCAGGCAGAGGTGCAGACGGTGTCAGGGTGTGCTTTTGGAAGCAGGAGGGGAAGGGAAGGGGAAGGATCCACTTTCCAGTGGGCATTGAGGTGAAACAAGGCAAGACCTTTGGTGTCCAGTTGGGAATGAGTATTCAGCCTTGAGGCCTGGGCTGCTGAAAAGAAAGCCCTGGGACCTCAGCACCCTGCGTGTGGCAGTGGTGTGAACCCCACGCTCCAGAGCCGTTTGTCTGAGCAGATTTTTCCGCTCGTCACGTCCCTGAAGATGAACACCCGGGGAAGGGCCGGCCAGCGCAAAAGGAAATGTCCCGGCCAAGAGCAGTGCGCCGAACTCAGGCTCTGGAGTGGATGATGCCGCTTCAAACAGCGCTGCCTTCTCCAGCAGAGTAAAAATAGCCAAGGAAGGGGAGGAGGCTGCTCTGGGAGCAGCCAAATGGAAAAAGGCCTTTCCTTAGCTTGGCTCAACAACAAGGAGTGAGTTCACCACTCTCTGGGCAGAGCAGGGAGCCCATGTCTGTGCTTCCTGCTGGCTCCCCGTGCTCACCCCCAGCCCTTGGCAGGGGCAGGAGCAGCACAGGCACAAAAGCAGAGTTACGGAGAAGGGCAGCAGCCTGGGTGAGGGCTGGAGCAGGTCCCCAGCGAGGCAGCTGGCTGTCACTGAGCCACCAACACACTGGCAGTCAAGGCACGTGGCATGAATCCATGTCCACCTCCGCCCTGCTGCCATCCCCAGCCCCAACACCTCAGCTTGCCAGTCTGCAGCTTCCCCAGCTCCAGCTCCTAGCCTGGACCATGCCCCCAGCTCAGCCACAGCCACCTCTGACAGGGAACATCACTCTCCTCCCAGGCCACACAGCCAGCTGCAATGGGGACAGCATGCTCCCACTGGGGACAGCCCAGCCAGCCACTGCCCAACATACACATCTCCTCCAGGAAGCGGTGTGGGAGCCTCTGGCAGTGGGGAAGAGCCTCTGTACTCCCAGTTCTCCTCAGCAGCCTCTGCAGATCTGCCCCCACACTCAGTTTCTCCCCTCAGCTCGTAAGAAGGCAGTAGAAACACATAAAAACACTTTTCTCCAGAGATTACCACTGCATGGATTAAAACCCCCAAGAACGTCTTGGCTGTTTAAAGACCTTCATGGCCTAACTCCCAAAGGCCCAGACACCAGCTGGGACCAGTTTAACTCCAGACTCCATCATGATGTCCCTCTGTACACAGTGTGCCAAGCAGCCTCAGACCAGGGCTGTAAAAGGGGACTTCCCTGGGGAGTCCAGAATTCAACAGGAAAGCAATGATAAATGTCAAATGAAGAGTTAATTGTCAAAACAAACCAGTGCCTGTGTCTGCCCCATGCAGCTGCCATCCCAGGGGCTCAGTGTGACCTGGAGAGCCATTTATAACCCAGCATTTATGCCTTTAGATGTGATTGCTTGGCCACTGTAGGGCAGGACAAGGCTCTCTCATCAGCCACAGGCAGCTTTGCTGGCAGTAAGGGCATAACTGAAATGGGTACTTGGCTGCTTTTCCAGGGCATCATCATTCAGAGCTGAGCTTGGTGGAAGAAAAAAGGGGTAGGGAGCTATAAGGCTTAATCCAGAGTGTCTGTAGAGGTGAAGGAAAAGCCATGGGATACCTGCTCCAGGATGAGATCCTTTTTGGGGGGAGCAGGCTCTGTCACTGCGAGGTAACTCAGAAATCTCTGCATCTCCACCAGGTTGGGCAGCTGGTCAATGAGGACATCTGTCAGGAATGCACGGAGCTGTGGCCATGGAGGGGGAGAGAAGAGTGAAGGAGAGAGGTCAGGACAAGGGAGTCAGAGCTGGGGATGCAGCAGGGCAAGAGAGGGATTTGAGGGGCAGTGGCCAAGAGACCAGTGGGGGTCTCACGAGGTGCATGCACAAACACAAGCTTTGCTGCTGCTGGCTACAGTGACAGATCTGCTGTTCTCCCACCTCTGGCTCCCTGGAGCCCACAGTGAGATGGGGACAGATATCTGGAGGTGCCCAGCGCTGGTGAGGGCCCAGGGCCTTTGTGCTGCTGGGTCCTACCTTGAGGAGCTGGCTCCTGTTGAAGCCATCGAAGCGGTATTTGCGCTGGCACTCGGGACTGAGCAGGAGGTTGAGCAGGGCAAGCCACACCTGCCCATCGAGTTTGGTCATCTTCACCTGGTCCTCAGGGGGCACCACATGCCATGTGCCATTCTCAAACTTCTTGAGCTTGCCTGAGGGACAGAAGAACCAGAGAGACTCAAGTGCTGCCTGAGGGAAGACAGCTCAGAGAGGGGATGCTGGCCTGTGCTCACTGCCTCGCTTTACCCTCTGCATCTGCCTGCCTCAGTTTCCCACTCTTTGCTCCACATAGCAGCCTACTTGGTACTGAGGCAAAATATTAGACCATGAAAAGCAGAAAGGACATGTCTTAAACCAATAGTGCTGTGCCAGGAACAGAAAGATCCCTGAGACATCTCCTTTTGTACTTGGCCAGGAATCTAGAACACTGGTGGGAAGTGGGGCAGCCCATGCTGCAACAACAGAGTGGCTGGAGAGACCCATCTTGGGGTACGTATGGCCACTCTTCTTAAGCTTCCTCTGCCAGGCAAAGCCAGAAGCAGCATGAATATAACAGATATGACAGCTCCAACAGCTACTGTGTGGCTCTGGGGGATGGAGCAGGATGTGACCCTGCATCTGCACAGCCTGGAAACGCCTTTGTGCTTGTCTCTTTCCAGTCCCTCCCTCAGGGCCCTGGATCAAAGCTCCTTCTCACACCCCAAGCACACAGGCAGGGAGAAGGGATGTGTTTCATGGCTGGAGGAAGGAGGAAAGCTCCCGCATCCAGCTGGGCTGCTCTCGGCAGGCACAGCCACGTGCTTCCCAGAGCTCTTCCTGCTCTGCCCGTGCTGTGACCCCCGGTGCAGGGCTGGGGCAGCGCAGGCTCCCACGCCCCAGGCTGTGCCCCACCACAGGGCAGGCAGTGGGAGGCTGGGGGGGTCCTGGCTGGCTGAAGAGGTGGGGGACAATGGGCACAGTCTGATCCTGGGCCTTTGGCAAGAGTGAAGCTCAGGGACCAGCAGCAGAATCAGGGCAATGTTTACTGCCTGGGAGAGAACACGTCTGCTTCTAGTGAGTGCTGCTCCAAAAGGTGCAGAGAAGCTGGGACAGGCACTCTGGTCTTTCTGTGTCCAGAAGACTCCTCAGAGGAGCACGTGGGGCTGGCAGAGGTGCTACACTACAGTGCTGGCTGTGATCACGCAGAAGAGACCCAGCCCTGTGTGAGGATCAGCTTTTGGGAGCAGTGCTGGGCCCCCAGCCCAGCTGTGCTGCAGCTGCTCTGAGCTGAACAGCTTCAGGCAGGGAGCACTGAGGAGCTGGAGGGGAGGATAAAGGGGGAACAGCTCTGCAAGGGCTCATACAGCAGATCCCTCCCTGGATGCACATCCCAGCACACCACCATGGTGCCCCAGAGACCATGGGATATGATCCATACCTGCTTCCCAGCAGCTCCAGGGGCAATGCTCCACCAGCTCAACAAAGAGGCAGGGCAGGTTGTGGGTGTTCAGCATCCGTGTCAGTGCACCCAGGGGCAGACTGGAGATATGACAGAAGGGAGGAAAGGCACTCACAGATTAATGCCAGAATTTGTATCTACAATGCTCCCTGAGGCAGCTGGGAGAGACAGGAAAGAAACAATGATCTGGGTTCCCAGAAGTACCATGGAGCAGGGTGGAGTGCTGCTGTGCTTGCCTCCCAGGGCACAGTGCCACTGCCACCGGGGACATAGCCAGCTGCTGAAAGGGGTCCAGGCACCCACTGTGACCCCACAGGAATCCCATCTGGAGAGCTGGGCACATCCTCTGCTGCTCCTGGGCACCTACCTGTCCACCTGGTCAGTGATGAACCGTAGCACAGACAGGGCCTTCAGGGAAATCTCAAACTCCATCATCTCTGCCTGCTTCTGCAGCTCCTGTGGAAGGACAGGATCTGCCTTGGGATTTCAGGCCTCATTTCCCAAGAGCTACAGGGAGGCAGGCTGTTGACTGCAGTGGTAACCACAGTCTGGGTAGGAAAACAGAGCCTTGAAAAATAGTTTCTTCTCTCAACTGTGCCAGCACTGCCTGTTTGCCAGTGCAGCCACAGAAGTGCTTGCTTGCAGCCCACAGTTGCTCTTCCTTCATGTCCCTGCCTCTAACAGGTTGTGGGTAGCTACTGGCTGCAGTGCTCCTGTACAAGATCACCCCCCGAAAGAGCATGGTCCCAAATTTTGCCTCTCTCCCTTTCTGGGACTACCTTGTGACCCGTGGCCCTGCGGAGACCTGAGAGGGTTGAAGGAGGGGGGAGCTGCATAATCAGCAGAGGAACTAGAGGAGGAGGAGGGAGAAACTTGGCCCTGGTGCAGCTGCAGTCCTGTATCCACCCCTCCTGGATCTGCCTCTTTCCTCCAGCTTGTGATCAGCCAAGTAGAATATCTGCCTGTGGTTATTCCAGCCCACAGCTGTGCCATGCTCTCCAGCCACCCAGCCTCCTTCCCATCTCAGCAGACACTCCACTCATCCCCCATGACAGCCTGACCACCCTCTGACTCAGCCTCTTTCGAGACCACGGGGAGGGCCATACTGAGAGGTGCCAAGTCCTTCTCTCTGGCTCAAGCAGAGCTTCTCTCCAGTCCCAGATGCAGTTTAGATTTGGTGTGCAGAGCACTGACCTCAGCTTCTTGTATTTCTCCAAAGAGCCACTGCAACAGTTGCCTTCCAGATTCCTGTGGTAAGCAGCTCTGTGCTCCCTGTGCTGGTGCCCCACAAGTGAGTGAGTCTTGTGGGCTCTTCCCTGCCCCCTCCCTCTCCAAACTGCCCTAGTGAGGTTTGTCCTACAGCTCCTCCTTGTATCCAGACCTCATCTCTGCTGCCTTGAAACAGGGATTATCTTTTGCCTGTGCTTCAAGGGGACAACAGAACAGGGATTACCACTGTACACAGTTCCGAAGGACAACAGGCTCCACAACACAGGAGATGGCAGGAACAGCTTTTTCACAGGGGTTATTGTACACAGAGCCAGGAGAGGCTGGAATGAATCAGAGGAAACCAGGCTCCCTGGGAGATGAGTGCTTTTGAGAATCCTATTGGCTAGAAAAGGTCTGGGATTTTAAGTTCGTGTCAAAGCAGTAACAGAGACACCCCTTCCCCTCCCCAGCTGGGAAAACATTTCCTGGAAAACATCCCTATTGTGCTCCAGATCCCTCCACTTCCTTCCCTTTTCTGAAAGAGAAGTATGTGCTTGGGCAACAAGCCAAAGGATGGAGGCAAGAGGAGGTTCAGGCTCTCCCTTTAACCCTGTTCTTCCAGATACTCCTCCTGATGTGCAGTTCCAGGTGCTGAGAAGCACCAGAGGCAATGACAGCTCCTGCTCTGGGAAGGTGTGTGTATGTGTCAGCCTGGGAACACCTGACTGGGAAAGCTCTGGGATTGCTGCTGGCCCAGGCCAGCTCAGAGGAGGTATTTCTCAGAGAATAAAGGAAGCTGGGGGAAGCACATGAGGACAATTCCTGATTGTTAGGAGAACTCTCTCATGGTTAACCCTGGCTGGAAATAGTGGCAGCCTGACCCAGGGTGGCTTCCCAAACTTCAGGGAGAGATATCCACACAGTTTCCAAGAGCAACAGCAAACGGCCAAACCCCTCTACTGAATATTTTTCCCATCAACTCTCCAGCATGTCCCACCACAGAGCTCTGAGCATGTCCTGCAGGCAGCCTCAGGCTGGCACTGGCACCAGAGAGGGCAGAAGCCAGGCAGCAGAGTAGAGGGAAGTGGATGCAGCCACAGGCACAGAGAAGCACCAGACACCCTCTGAGGTGGGCAGGAGGTGCCAGGGTTGCAACCCATGAAAAGGCCTCCCACGTGCCTCCCTCTGCAGGCTGCCCACATTCTTCACCACACACGTCCCCAGGGAGCTACAGGACTTCCTCCTCACCTGCATGGATGAGGGGCTGGCCAGATGCTCAGCACGAAGCTCCGCTGAGGTCACTGCTTGTGCCTTGGTGCTCCGAGCTGCCAGCAGGATCAGCTTGCGGTGGCAATAATCAATCAAATCCAGAATGCTGTCCTCTGCTGACTCGCAGATCTCCTTCACAACCACAAGGGTTTCACACAGGGTCAGTCCCCACAGTCTTCCACCCCCCCAGGGGCTTTCCATTTGAGGAAAGCTGAATGTGTCTCACCTTGTAAAAGAACACTGTCTCCAGGAGGTTGATGATGGAGGCTTCATGGTGCAGCTGTGGGAGGAGAATGGCAAGAGTGAGGTAATGGTGGAGCAGCACCAGGAACATGGGCATAGGACAGGGAAAAGGGCTCTTCTGAGAAGCTGCTTATGTCGTTGTGGCCAAAAACTAGTCCAAGAGAACAATACAAGTGATGCAACCTTCAAAACAACTCCAGTTCATGCAGTTCATATTAATATTTATGCTGACATGCCTGTGACACTCCAACATGCCAAAGGAGAGCCACACTTCCCAGCAGGCAGGGCTCTTCAAGGCTCTGCCTGTGCTGCAGGGGCAGGACAACCACTGCCCTTGGGCAAGCTGGAGGCTCTGGCACCAGCACAGAGCCAGTGCCTGAGCTGGGACTGCTCTGCACGGCTGTGCTTCTCCCGGGCCCTGGGACTGGGACAGACAGCCTTGTCCGTGACTGGGAACTATGGGATACTTGCCCTGGGACAATCAGCTGCTCAGGGAAGACACCACCTTGCCCCCTGAAAAGTGTTACCTTGGACTGAAAATGGGTTAAAATTTCCAAGCCTCACACAGATTTCCCTTAGGTCAAAGGCTGCATCCCTCTGCAAGGAAGCTCAGATCTGGAGATCATTCCCTTGCCAAGAATGGCCCAAGGGACCACTGGTCCCAGGAACTCAGCAAGAAAAAGCCACATTTTTGTTAGTCCGGAGGCACATAATTCTAGAGAGCCTCTGGCTAGAGAAAAACAGTGCTCAGAGGGGGGAAAATACCCCAGAGGTATCACTGCTTGGGAGCAGGGGCAGCACTGGGAGCCACAAGCCACAAGCACAGCTGCCTCCAGGAATGGCTTTTGCTCCACCCAGCAGCTCCTGCAAGCCCCTGTGCAGGATGAGAGAGGGGACAGCTCTCCACAAAGCCAAGCTTTCCTGGGAGTGAGACCCTGCCCCTCCTGGGGGCAAGGGCACGGGCTTGCAAAGGCTTTGGGAAACCAGGCACCTCCCACTGTGTCCCACTGCCCACCTCAGCCTGGTGAGATGCAAAACCTCAGCTCTGAGACCTTCAGGGTGACATTTATTTTCAAGCACAGCTGTGCCTGACCCATCCACAGGCTCTTTCCCACCATCCCCTCTACTCACCACCACGTAGATGGGGAAGGTGCTTCTTGGCTTGAAGTCCTCCAGCCGGCACAGCACAGGAAAGATCTTGTGCTTCCAGATCTCCACAGAGATCAGCTCCCCAATGAGAACAGGAATCTAGACAGGGAAGGGATGGGGAAGTGAAGCCTTTCAGACCAGTGCTGCAGGGGGAACCAGCTTGTTGCTAATGGTCAACCACACTGGAGTCGCCCAGGGAGGAGGGTGATCTTGGGGAGCACTCTGTATTCTTCCAGCTCAGAAGCGAGCAGCTTCTCACAACAGGGCAGACCTCCTGGGGCTGCAGAGACAGAAGGTGACCCCAAGGAACCGGGCAGGTCCAGGCAATCTCATGCCCTGGGGCTGGGACACCTCAGACACACAACAGAGACCTGCAGCCAGAGGGGCCAGTGGATGAAGGAGGCAAAATCAACCTCCAAGAGAGAAACCAGACACCAGCAAGTGGAAATACCACAGCCTGACCTTTAATTTTTTTAAAAAAACAAAACTGGCACACCACCAGTCAAACATCCTTTCCAGAGACACAACAGATTCTTCGACATTTTATTCCAAAATTGCACTCTGCCCACAGGATAAGCCCAGCTGGAGGCTGAAGGCCCAGCGAGGGGATCACTGCTGCACCCAGGGAGGCTCACCTTGGCATGGGTGACCAGCAGCTCGGTGAGGAGCTGCTCCTGGCCTGCTGAGGCACTCAGGATGCCGTGCATGTTCAGCTTCTCCACATACTCATGCTGCCGAAGCCATCTGAGGGGCAGCCAGTGAGGACATCAGTGCCACAGACCTCTGGCCACAGGCTCGGCAAGGGCCCCTCGTGCAGGGAAACCTGCCCTGTAACCCCCAACCCCAAATTGTGATCGGAGCCTGGGGCCACAGCTCCACTGGGGCAGCCCTGCCCTCAGTAACACCCTCGCTGGGGACACCACAGAACCAGGGGGAGCCTCTCCATCACCCCTACCCTCACAGACCCTCAGATCTGGGACCTTTCCTCACCCTGGGCCCTCCAATCTCTCAGTTCTTCCAGGAACACTCCTGGAAGAACTGCAGCCTCTTCTCTCACCCCACCCCGACCCTGTGGGGTAACTTCAAAATCAGGACTCCTCTCTACCCTAAACCTTCTGAGGACCCCTCCTTACGCCCACCGTAAACCCTGGGAATGCCCCAGAACTGGGTCCCCTCCTGTCCTCCAACAACC